AATTCCTCAACTACTTAATTTTTTTTATTTGGACAGTTTATACAAAAATAAATACATTTTAATTAATGAAACAATATAAGTTTGTAATTATAATTATTATTTACATGGCTTTTTTAATATATGATAAAAATTTTACCAATATATATATTTTATGGAATCACATTGTAGTCAAATCGAATTTTGCCCTCAAAGTAACACAACTTTTTTCTATGCAGTAAATTAGAGCAGATTAGATAGAGTTGTGGGCAATGATACATGGATTAATTTTTGAATAAAAGTTTTAAAATGACACTCACTGTGAAATGAATATAATGTAATTTATTATCCGTTAAGTGCATCGTACGCATTGTGTACAAATTCTAAATAGACATGTTTTATGTAATTCTGTACAATTTAGATTTCATATAATATTTTTAATAAATTAATATAGGTAAATTGTATTCTATATTAATTTTATATTTTTGATTTATAAATATTATTTAATGAGTATTTTTATTTAATAAATATTAATACATATTTTTTACCCGTGCATCGCACGGGATTCGTACTAGTATTCCCTGATCGCAAAAATGAAAAAAAAAAGACCCAACATATATTCCCCTTGGACCTGGGGCCGCCGCCCGTTTCCCACGCACCAGCACAACCCCGCGGCGCGCCTTCCCTCTTCTCCCTTCTGGGCTGAAGCCCACTCAAGCAGCAGCACCAGCCCAGTTCCTCACACGCTTCTTCCCCTCTCTGTCATTGACAACAGGCCCCACCTGTCAAATCTCTCCCCTTCCTCCCACTCGAGACAGGGCCTTCCAGTTACAACGCACAGGCATACTGTATGCCTGCGTGAGAAATAAAAAAAAAAAAATAGTATGCTACAATTAGAGGCCATGGATTTTATATTTCCTACTACTTTATAAAAATTGGGGAAAAAAATAATGCTACATTTGGTTGAAACCGGTTGACATCACTATAATCGGAATGAGGAATGCTGCTTGCGGAACATCAATCCTGGTAATGCTCAACCTTAAAATGGATGATATGTACCAAGAAAAACATAAACAAGAGCATGTGGTGCAGACAAATGCTT